CTTCGGGGGTCGTTCAATGTCATGGTGGACGGGAAGCGGAAGAAGGTAATGCGATATGACCCACTAGTCCACGTCCCCTCTGAACAAGTCCAGAAATTTCATGCTTGGCTGGCGAACCCTAACACCGACCGTGCCACTCGCAAATCATGCTACGGTCATTGGGGAAAGACATGGTTCCTTGACCTTATCACCTCGGGCAAGTGGATGACGAGTGAGGTACGGGTTCGAAACCCCAAATATATGTTGTACTTGTATTTAGTTTTTTTCTAACAACAATGACTTATATAGGTGATCGATTCGTTGTTCATGTTCACGCGGAACAAACTCGAGCAACGACAGGACTTGTGTTCTCGAAGATTCACCACGGGTGACATTGTCCTTGCGGTATGTAATATATATATATATATCTCTCATACGCTGACCGTTTTTACAAATTCATGTGCTAACTGAAATTTTTTGTTCGTTGCAGAACTTTCTTCGACGAACAGACGGACTATATCAACGCATGACAGCCCCGAACGCTGTACCTGCGAGAGTTGCAGCGGAATACGATTGGGCTGGGAAGTGTAAGACCATCCTGAGCTATATGGACGGGACGCACATCGACTATCAGACACGATGGCTTGATCTGGATGCTGTTTACCTGCCATACAACATCGATGGCAACCATTGGATTATGCTACACATCGATCTGCAGGAGGGTGAGATCATTGTGTGGGATTCGATGAGGTCGATGACACACTTTCCAGCTCTGGAGTCCGAGTTGAGGCCGATGGCTATTGTCCTACCGACGTTGATGGACAGGGCCGGTGTTCAGGTACTGAGGCCGACACTACCGAATATGCCATGGCGCATTCGTCAAGTAACGTCCGTGCCCCAACAAAGCGGGTCTGGTGACTGTGGGATGTTTTGTGTTAAATATTTCGAGTATGATGTAACAGGGTCAAATATGACCAGCTTAACTTATGACAACATTAGTTTCTTTAGGGAGAAATTGACCGTAGAAATGTGGGCAAACCGATCTATATTTTGAATCTAATTCGCTTATTAGTACTATGCCATTATTTTATTACCTAGCTCTTACAAACTACTTATCTTGCTTCGTATAAGACAAATATGTTAAAAAAGCAACTTGATACATAAAATGAATCAATACAACATTGACCATTCATATTCCACCCAAAAGAACAAAGTATGGAAATCACTGAAACATTTCACGGGCGAAATCGGGCTATTCACGGGCAAGAAATATTTCAGTCAGTGCAAATGAAGTCACTGAAATATTTCTCGGGCAAGAATACAACCATTTCGCCCGAAAAAGTTTTCATCCATTAGTGTGCTGGTCTCTGCACTATTTCACGGGCGAGAATATCATTATCCTACCCGAGAACTGCATTCATGGCAACATCTTGTTAACATTTCGCCCGAATATATGATGATCAGATTCCAATACACAAAAAAGAAAATACATGGATATAATTAAATCATACATCGAACTAAGACTCAGTTGTTCATAATGGTTGGCGGCAAGTTTTCCTATTGTGACCTTGCATTCCACACCTGCTGCATTTATGTACCTGTTGAGGCTCGCCTGCTGATGGTATTCGTACTGTTTGCGGTCTACCAACTATTGCAATGAACTTCAGAGGCTCGATGGTGTACTCAACAAAGTCGTCGGGTAAAGGCCAGTCCTCCTCATCACCCAATGGGTAGATTGGCTCGGCGTACGCGTTAAGAAGCGTTTCTAATTTATACTTGGGCGAACACAGCGTGTATATACTAACATTACGATGCATGGCAGCAACGACAGCGTGGGAGCACGGGATCTGAAAGTAGTCAAACTGCTTACACGTACAACTCTTACTGTTTAGGTTGACACGCACCATGCTGTTATCATCGTGTACCTCGTACTCGTAATTATCAATCGGTCTAATCGTATGTTGTCGGGCCTACTCCACTGCACTCTTAACAATCCCCTCAGCATAATCAGTTAGAATGGATGCTCTGGTCGATGCATACGTCTGTCGTTCGTAATACCATCGTTGCAGAAGAGCCCTACAATGTTCTAATAGTGCAGTGACCGGCAAATATCGTGCGTGAACTAGAACTGCATTCATGAAATCTGCAATGTTAGTTGTCATCTGATTGTACCTCAATCCAGGTTGATATGCGCGTGACCATTTATCGAACCCGAGTTCCTCCAAGTACTGTCGCAGTTCTGGGAATCCTGCAAGCGGATTCCAATAATACCTAAAGGTAGACTTCTTGAATGCCTTAGCTGCTAAGAGGTATAGCCATTCCACGCCTTCGCTCCGAATCTTGAACTTATCATTCAAGTTCATCTGCACGTGATGCATGCAACTGACGTGTTCAGCAGTGGGGAAGACAGAAGTTACAAAGTTATTAATGGTTCGGTGCCGGTGAGGCACGAACACCAATCCTTCAACATCTCCAATACAACTCTTCACCCGCTCCAAGAACCAAGTCCAAGACTCGTTTGTTTCCCTGTCTACGATTCCAAATGCAAGTGGATATAACTGATTATTACCATCAACAGAGGAGGCTATCAATATCACACCTTTATATTTTCCCTTCAGATGTGCACCGTCGATGACAAGTACAGTGCGAATGCAACTTCTAAACCCCTGGATAGAGCACCCTAGGGCCATGAATGCATATTGGAAATATTTATTGTCCTCCAACTTCAATGAAAATACCGTGCCTGGGTTCACCGATTTCAACGCCTCACCGTATTTACGCAAAAGAGTGTACGACTTCTTCGGCGATCCCATTAGTAGTTCTAAAGCCCTCTCTCTCGCACGCCACGCCTTTTCATATCGAATGTTAACACCGTAATTTTTCCGCATGTCATTAACAATATCCTTCGGTCTATAACGTCGACTTACATCCTTAAATGTGGACTTTATAATCTGATCCACCACACGACTTCGAGCTTGCCGGTGGTCATGTTTCATAGTGCAACTGTGAACCTCATAGAATGTAGAGATAAGAAAAGTATCTGAACCTTTAATTTTCCTTGAACGTAGGCTCCATTTGCACCCATCCTTAGTGCATTCGACAGTATACAAACTTTTGTCGAGTTCTTCACGTGATATTGAAAATTCATCTTCATTGCGTACACCGAGAGTTTGAACTGCAAATCTTCTTTCGATCGAAAAGTACTCCCTACCGCAATATCCTCTGTTGACGAACAAACTTCATCACCTGTCTTAACAATTTCCCTTGAGCAAGAAGCTTGACCGGTTGCGCACGGTGCATTCGTACTGACCACGTGCACTTCGGTCGAGGGGTCCGATGATGGACCGGCTACATCCACTGGGTCTACTTCCTCCTTGTTGTCAAAGTCAACATCATCCTCGAATTCAGTATCGTGGTTGTCATCATCCTCGGCCTCGTACTCGTACTCCACGTCGTTCTCATCGTTATCGTCCCATTGACCGCAATAGTTTGTTTCATCGTCACTCAAGTTACATGGGATTACATTGTCCGTCAGCAGCGTCATTGATGGGACAAAACATGATGGGCCTGGGAGCGTGGAATAAAAAGAAACGATGGAGCATAATACGAAACGGTCTGCTCTAACTGGTCGAGGGGCCCTAATGCTTCTGCTTCTTGAATGTTACGATTCATTGAACTGCTTCCTCTGCCATGTATTTCCTTCGGTACGACAAATACATAGAATGGGACTTCGGAGGGATGTGGAGGGCCTCTTAAAAAAAATCTAAGGCTATGGTCATCAAAGATGTAATATTTCGGAACTTGGTACTGCAGATTGAATTTATATACACAGTGTATCAAGATTTTGAACCGATCCGGATCTATTCGGGTAAGGCTGAACATAGCACTAAGGAGCTCCTCATAAGTTATAGAATCGTCCATATCCAAACCTCCCATAATTCCACCTTCATATAGAAATTGTTACTTATTCCAACTACCACCATAGCTAACAAATAGGCGAGGCATCCTGCATGTGGAAAGAGAAGAATTCAAAATTCAAAATTCGAAATTTTCGACGTTCTCGGGCGGAAGTTCTTGTTGTTCGGGCGAGAATTCACGCCCGTATACAATATGATCCTCGCCCAAAACTCATATTATATTGTCATTTTCGATCGTGAATAACCCTAACTTCGCCCGAGAATCATGGAAAAATACAGACAGTACATGCCCCAAACATGTCGTTCTCTAAGGAAGAATAAAAACCACAAAGATGCACACAAATGATTCCAAATAAACAAAAAACAAAAAGGTAGACATATAAATGTGCGACTTCAGAGATGAAAAACACAAAAATAAACCATTCTTTGTAAATGACATTTCACCTACCTCGTTTGTGTAGAAATCTTACTCAGCTACAAACAAACTGTGTGGTCAGATGGAAGAGTTACTTTCAATGTACAATATTCTTTTTGTTATCTGCAAAGCTGAGTACGAAGTGCACAGATGAAGAAGACTGATTTGCTGAACTGCACAGATGAGAGGTGGTTGTTTGATTAATTGGAAAACCTTAAATTCTCGGGAGAAATAATACCAGTTAACGGCCGAGAATTCATTGTAAGTCAACCTAACTTCTCGCCAATTCTCGCCCATAAACAACCCAAAATTAGCATTTTGGCCAATTTTTGGGCAGGAAAAATGCGATTCTGCCCGAGAATTAGTTATCATTTTCACGATTACAGTCGGGGAAATCACGTTTCAGCCCGAGAATTGACGCTATACTTGAGGGGTAGTTGGGTACATTTACTTCCACTGACAATTCTGAAAAAGCAGATTTGGGTCATTCAAAACAATTTTAGAGGGGTGGGTTATTTGAGCACATTGGAAACTTAAGAGGGTCATATGAGTCATTTTCCCAACGATTTTTGAAACTGTGATTTTACCCTAAAGTTTTTATTTAATAGGAATCTTTTACAATATACAATATTTAATAATCTCTCAACTTTATTCTCTTTGATATCTTATCATACATTCTATTTTTCTATTTACTCTATTAATTTATGTATATTGGTTTATATACGACGTATCAATTGCTTCTTTTACATGTTGCCATTATATACGTCCACTACTATATATCTTGTTAATTTTTCTTCTTAATTGTTTTATCTGTTACCCTCTTTTCCCTGCCGTTTGCCTAATTTTCAATACATTTATTCCATATTTATCCCAATTTTAATATAAATTACTTTACAAAAAAACTACTTTACTATTATTTTGTACTACGTATAACTTTCTATTTACTAAGAATCTTATACAAGGTAATTAATCATCCCTCAATCTTATTCTCTTTTATACATTATCATACATTCAAATTTTCTATTTATTCTATTTTCGTACATTGCTTTATGTACATAACATATCAAAATGTTCTTTTATCTATTGCCATTATATACGCTCACTATATATGTTGTTAATTTTTCATGCTTTGCTAGTTGTTTTATCAGTTGCCGAATTTTCTTTATCTTTTTACTAACTTTCTTTATAAGGTACCTTTCTCTTTGACAACAAAAGCTTTCTTTATCTTTTTACTAACTTTCTTTATAGGTACCTTTCTCTTTGACAACAAAAGCATTTGTAGATGGTCAGATCCCTTATAAGGACTTTGAATTAGAAACATGCAAAATAAATTAAGTTATTCCAATATTTTGCAATACGTCCCCCACGCTATCTAAAGAAATGATTGATGTCTCAATGTTCGGTCTTTTTTTTTAGAGGTTACCTTGTAGCTCAATCCCTTCACTTAACTTTTTCATGACACTCTTCACTTTTACCATTATCATGTATACAACAAATCACAATCCCTAATTAATAGCCTAACATCTCAATACAGGGTATCTAAATCAATATATCCCGTAAATAATGTATCTTAAAAATAACAACCGTACCTAATGTAATCAATTTTGGAGAGCTCTAAAAGTTAAGTTTATGTATTTAGAGGAAAAAAAAAACAAGTGAGTCTTAGATGACATGATTTTCTAGGAGTTCCTCCTCGATTCGGTTTTATGCTAGATTGCATTATCAAAGGAAATTAATGGAAAAATACAAAACAATATATTTAACTCATCAAAACTATGATTTAAAATTGATTTATTTAATGACACTAGTATTAAAAAACAAAAAAAAAATATAAAAATCCCAACATTTTAAATTGTGGGTCCTACATCATTTTCATATATCATGATATTTTTAACAAAATAGGAAATGGATTAGATATTTTTCAAATAACGTTATATTATAAAAATAAAGGCTCTCACTTGTATTTGAGAACAAGAAATACATAAAAACGTAAAAAAGGGTATAAACCCTAGAATGAGAAAAACGGAGAAAAGACAAGTGATTGAACTTTTCAATTAATCAAAAACACAAGAAAGGGACTGCATTAAATAAGCAGACCCTTTTACACAATAACCACACTCCAGTCCGCTGCTGCACCTGCTACGAACTTCGCAGCCACTGGAACGTCGTGGGTC